GTGAGTCACCTGCGGGAAGGCGTAGGCTGCAGCCCCTGCTGCAGTGGGTTGCCATGGGCTACCGTATACAGCCAGCAGCCGCTGTGAGCGGCTGTCCAGAAGCCGCTGACTGATCTGCCTCGCCCGGTAAGAGCAATGATGGTGCCAACTTGGGCCAGTGAAGCAATGTTCTCCCCAACTAGACTGAAGAACAAAAAGGACACCAACTTGTCTGTTCCCCTTCCCCCAATTCCCCAGCGCTGTTCCCATCCCCCAATTCCCCAATAAAAATCTTAAAAATAAATAAAAATAAAAATAAAAAAAATTCTAGGGACCGACTGAGTGGCTCAGTTGATTAAGAGCTCGCTCAAGAGTGCAAGCTCTGAGCAACAGCAGTTCGATGCCTGGCCCGAGCTGAGCTGCCACTGAGCTGCCAACAGGTGGCAGGATGGCTCAGCTAAAAAAAAAAAAAGAAACAAACTTCTAACTAGCATGAGAATAGCACTGATGTTGGAAGGAGTAAATGGGGAAAAAGACTTTTCCTTTTTTTTTTTTTAACACCTTTCCTTTATTTATTTATTATTTTAAAGATTTTTTTGGGGAATTGGAGGGGAACAGTGTTGGGAAATTGAGAAAGGGGACCAGACAAGTTGTTGGTTCTTCAATCTTCATTGTGGAGGGTGGCAGTCGCCATCTGGCTGCCCGACGGCAGTTCGTGGCCTCTAAGCTCAAGGTGCTGTGCTCAATCAGTTGCAAGTGGGCATAGCCACCATTCCACGTGGGAGTCGAACCTGGCAGCCTTAGTTGTTAAGAGCACACACTCTATCCACTGAGCCATCCGAGGGGCAGTTCAGCTCAAGGTACTGAGTTCAGTCTTAGTTGCAGGTGGGCGTAGCTCACCATCAAACAGGCAATCTTGTTGTTACACCAGCTGATCCATCCTGACACCTGTTGGCAGCTCAGCGACAGCTCAGCTCGGGTGCAGTGTCACTGGCCCATGTGGGAATTGAACCGGCGGCCCTGTTGCTCAGAGCTTGTGCTCTTAAGCCAACTCTTAACCAACTGAGCCACTCGACCGGCCCCAACACCTTTCCTTTATAGTTTGCATTTTTATCACAGTGTGTATTACCTCTTTTAAAAATAAAGTGGGGGGCCAGCTGAGTGGCGCGATGGTTAAGAACTGGCTTGGGACGCCAGAGGGCCCCAGTTCGGATACCACATATGAGGGCCAATGACGCTGCCCTCTNCTGGCTACACACGGTAGCCCATGGCAACCCACTGCCACAGGGGCTGCAGCCCATGCCGTCGCCTGCGACTCACGGCAGCCCAGCTCCAGGTCGAGCTGTCGTTCAGCATCTCAGCTGTGGAGGGCAGTGTCACTGGCCCTCATATGTGGGATCCAAACCGAGGCCCTCTGGGGTCTGAAGCGAGTTCTTAACCATCGCGCCACTCGGCCGGCCCCTTCCCATATTTTTTAATGCAAGTTAAATGTTTCCTCTTCGAAGCCTTCTTGCATCTTCCATTGCCACAGACATATTTGTGTCTGCTTAGGGCTCTTCTTTCATCCTATGTGGCTCTAGCCCTTTCTATGCCAGTGTCCCACTCACCCCTGGTCACAGGGGGAGGGCAGGTAACCTAAGCAGAGTCCATTAGAGTCCTTCCATGAAATTTGCTATTGACACCAGCAAAAAGAGTCTCTGTTTCTGTAAAGAAGAAAGTACGGTGCTTCCTACAGTCACCTTTTCTCTATGAGCATAGGTGGGAAAGATAGAAAGAAAGAAAAGAGGGAAAGATGAAGGAGGGAAAGGGGGGGGGGAAGAAACACATAGTGGGGAGAGAACAGGGCAAGGAGAGAAACAGGAGAGAAATAGCAGAGAAGGAAAAGAATTAGGGAGTTGGGGTAACCAGATGACATAATTTAAGCCAGTGGATTCAACTGTGCTTTAAGCTAGTACTACCCTCAGTTATATGAACCAATATCTCCCCTTTTTTGCTCAAGCTAGAGTGAGTTGGGTTCTTATCACTTGCCACCAAGAATCTTAACAAACCTGTTCTATTACTTCTTCTGCCTTTCCCACACAGCTATCATCCCAGCACTATTATTTTGTTTAAATATTTCTTCACCGGCTGGCATATGAACTCACTGAAGACAAGCCTTCTTACTTGCCTTTGTATTCATGGTGCACTCAGCAAGCGTCTGCAGGATGGATCACGTGTCCAATTTCGTCATCTCACTTGAAGATCAGAACCCCTCCTCCCCAAGAAAAACCCCAAGAAGTAAAAGGAAATTTAGCACATATGAATGCCTCGAATAGCTGTTCGAGAAACTATACATTTGGGAAAGCTAAGTTAATTATCAAGTACCAATGGTTCTCTAAGATGGGAGAGCATCCCTCTCAGCTGAACTATCAGGAGATGAAGGAGGTCCACCTAAAATGCCTACCATGTGATTGCGAGATATAGAACTGCTGAATTGGCTGACACTCTTAGGCTACCCTAAAATAAAAATGTACGGAGTAGGTTAAATATGCTCACATTTCAGGCAAGTAAAACAGCTAGGAGCTGTGGCTCCCCTGATCCCAATTTAATAATTTCTGGGGATACGTAAGATTCCTCAGGACAGGAAGCAATAGTTTTCAGCCTAAATAAGGGTTTCTGGAAATATGCGTTAACCCATAAAATATATACCAAAGGCTATGAAGAGGTATTGGTGTGACCTGGTGTTCTTTTGTCTCACTTGGAATGGCTTAAAGACTTCCTCCCAATAGGATGTGAAGAGCCATTTATTCCAGGGGATTGTTTTGGTTGATATAGGGATTAGGCCACATCTTGGAGACAAAACAGAGAAGGGCAAATTTAAGAGAACAGCTCTCTCAATGGACTTATACTGATTGGACAAAATTTTATGTCAGAACTCTGAATTTGCACCTACTGTGGTTATGGTTGAAACAACGTGGATTAGAGGACATCAGCTTCAGGCTCGTTACCTGCTAGATGAATTATCCAGGGAACCAACAATTTTGTTTGAATTCCAGTTCAATTATCTCTAGATACAAAATGAGACAGCTCTTTCTCTACCCACTTTACTAGCTGCTAGATAAAACCTTAGCAATCATTTGATCTAATCTCCTTATCTTCCCCATGAATTAACTCACAAAGTAAAGTACTTGTTTCTACCTTTTTTTTTTGGTCAAAGATCCCTCTGAGGATTTGTTGAAAAGTAGCGACCCTTCTCCACATAAAAACTTACTTTTGTGTGTGTGCACACTCACACACACATTTTTGAATATTGTTTTTGGAAGAATCACAAAACTCCTGAGATTCATTTTTTGGGAAGCCAAGTTTTTTTTTTAAAAACCTGAATTAAAGAAAACAGTTTCAATGAATGAAAAGAATTGAACAAAACACACACACATAGTAAAATAAACTTGTTCATTTCATCATAAATTTAGTTATTTTCAAGCAATATTATTAATCTATTAACTCTCAGCATACTCCAAACTTACAGGTTAAGTACTGCTCCCTATTTCTTCATCGATGATGACCATTTTATACAAGCTTCTACAATCATAATGAGAGAACAAACTGCTAAATGTTTGTTGGTAAGTAAATTCAGTGCAGCACTCAAATCCTAGAAATGAACTAATAATATGACTCTCTTCCTCCCTTTATAAAATGAGTTGAAGCAAGACCTTGTTTCCTTCATTTTCAACAGTTCTTTAGAGAGAGACATATTTATCTTGAACTTGTCTAAACATAGGCTTATACAAACTAATCCATTATCGTGTACAGTTATAAGCAAGGAAATCATTTCATGTTGATAGTTTATTAAAGTAAAAATAAGGGAACACC